TGGGTGACCTTGGGCTAGTCACGCTTCTTTGAATACTCTCAGCCCCACTCACCTCACAGAGTGTTTGTTGTGGGGGAGGAAGGGAAAGGAGAATGTGAGCCGCTTTGAGACTCCTTCGGGTAGTAATAAAACGGGATATCAAATCCAAACTCTTCTTCTTGGCAGTGGGCTCTCTGAACAGAACTAGGCAGCAAGAGGGGTCAAACAGCTGCGAAATGTATCCAAAGAAAAACCTAGGAAGGCAGTTGGAAAGAAAACCCTATGTCCTTTGTCTTTGAAGTGTTTCAAGGGAAACTGTTTCTCATGGGATATAAACCTTACAACTCCAAAATTTAGAAAAATAAAAACAGAGTTTGAACCTTTGCACATCTCTTTTTTAGAGATTTAAGTGCTACTATCTTTCTCCCCAAGTTTTTTGTTTAATCCAGGTGTGGGCTGCACTTCAGTCATATTTACACTGCAGGTGTTAACTACCCATCCTAATGGGACTTGTAGTTCTGCAAGGGGAGTAGTTCTGTCAACAGAATTCTGTGCACTACATCACACATTTGGCAGGAGCCATAACTCAGCTGATAGTAATACAAGTTTGAAATTGTCATGCATCTGAAAAATGCACAATCAATTTTTAAAATATCCATTCCTTGTGTACCTTTCTTTTTGTCATAGGTCACGGTGATTATGCGTACCAGCAGTCATCTTATTCTGAACAAAGCTATGACAGATCATTTGAAGATTCTACACAGCACTACTATGAAGGAGGTAAGAAGACGTTATGGAAGCAGTTCTTGTAGAACCCATCAGATGTTGGGTGTACGTACACACACACACACACACACTGTTCTACTGCTGCTAGCAATACAAAGATATAGCTGTTCCGTCTTCCTCTAAGAAGATGCCAGCCACCATCTAGGTAATAGGTATAGTAGGGATAGGGAACCTGTGGCCCTCCATGTTCCTGAACTACATCTCCCATTCTTCCTGATCACTGGTCAGGGCTGATGGGAGTTGTAGTCAAATAACATTTGGTGTGCTATAGGTTCCCGATCCCTGTGCTGGAGGTAAGTGCCTCCCAGGAAACTGCCAGCAGCCACTGACTTCTAATGTTGGGGACAACAAAGGCCCAGCTGCAAGGTTCTTTGGTAAATTAAGCAGGGCAATGAATTGGCCCTCTTCTCTTATAGTACACCCCATGTCCCAGAGAGGGGCTTCAGACTTAAGGGGAGAGTGTTGCAGTGCTTATGTTAGTGTAAGCAACAAAATGCCCACTACCCCCAGCTTGCTCTGAATAAAGGAACCTCCATTATACCATTGCTTCATCTAGCTTATTAGTAACCATACTGACTAGCAGTGTTTCAGACAGAGGTCTTTCTCAGTCCTTCCTGGAGATACCAGTCATTGAACCTGGGACCTTTAGCATGCAAAACATGTCGTATCTATTTGCATGCTCTGAAGCAGCCTTAAGATTAGATGGATGGGACTGAACAGTCAATCAGCTGTTGAGTCCAGCCACATACCTCCAGTCTTTAAGCATTAAGTGCCAAAACTACACCTATGTATACTCGTCTGCTTCTGGAGGGAAGGAAACCTTGCACAGTGTTGTCTACAACCCCTTCTTTCATGGCAAACTAGAACTTTTTTTAAGTACAAGTCTTGAAGTATCTGAATTTCCACACAGGCTACTTATATGCATGCTCAATGGTGCAGGTGACTGAAAAGCTCCCTCTGATCCTAGAAATCTGTATTGTGTGAGCCCTGCAAAAACAGGCACCTAGGGATACTTCACACACTTCTCTGTGCCATATGCAACCCTGTGAGTGTAGCCATATGAAGGAACTGACGCATGAGCTGGAGTAATTGCATTGGCAGGCACCATTTCTTATTGAGAACTGGTGTGAATACAGTGGCACATTACTCACCCTTTCACACAGATTAGTGCTTGGAAGTGATGCCTGCCTTTTATGGATAAGCTTCTCTCAAACTGGCTGCATCAGTGAAAGATTTAGAGTATGCCATTAAACCCTATGTAGATCTAGGGTGCTGGTTACCTTGCAAATCAACCCTATTGATATTCTGTCTTTAGGGAATTCCCAGTATAGCCAGCAGCAGGCGGGATACCAACAGGGAACTGTACAACAGCAAACGTATTCACAGCAGCAATACCCAAATCAACAGAGCTATCCAGGACAGCAGCAAGGATATGGTGAGAAAATGTGTATTGCCTTGCTTTGCTCTACTTTGTAGCTTGATTCTGCGCAACTGTGTGCCCTTTCTTTCTTTCTTTTCTTTCTCCTTCTCTCTCTTTTTAAAATTTATCCTTTTTGAATTTTACAACAAAACATGCAAATTCTTTAACAAAACTAAAAATTCATATCAAATCAACCTCCCCTCCCCCTCTCTCTGTGGATCCTTCCGTTTTGTCTTTACTGCTGCATATCCAAATTAATTCCTTAATTATTAATTTTTCGCTAAGAATTTCCTTTATTTAGCTTTACTGTTCATTTTATGTTAACCCTGTTAGCGTTTTAATTTTTATGTTAACCCTGCTAGCGAATAATTTTTCAAATATTCAACAAACTTTCCCCAGTCTTTATTAAAAGTTCTTTCTTCCTGGTTTCTTATTCTAAATAATAATAATAATAATAATAATAATAATAATAATTTATTTATACCCCGCCCATCTGGCTGGGTTTTTCCAGCCACTCTGGGTGGCTTCCAACAAAATATTTAAATACAATAGTCCTTCGGATATTAGTCTTCCCTTATTCCAGGAGTTCAGGGCAGCATTTGTAGTCCCAACCCCTTCCATCCTCACAACAATCCTGCAAGGCAGGTTGGGCTGCGAGAGAGGTTGTGGGGAGAGTCTGGCTTTGTAGCTGAATGGGATTTGGACACTTGTCTCTCCAGTATAAATCCAATTCTCTAACCACCCCAGGTTTTCTTTATAGTAGCCTGTTGATTCAAAAAGAACCACAGAAGTGTCCCATGCTCACTTACCTAAGGGTAAGATTTGTTGATATAGTGGGACTTACTTCTGAGTCAACATGCAAAGGAGTGGACAGTAATGCAAATGAGACCTGTGTCTGCAACTGTCTTCTGAGCCTAATTGTAAGTTCAGGGATATCATCCTTGCTGTCAAGTTTTTATTAGTCATTACCATAAGAAAAGCACCAAAACTAAATGCAAAGGTAAGTACTGCCTTGGAACCTTTGAAATCCAACAAAATATAGATACAGTTCTCCTCCTGTCAGTCTATTATCACTATAAAAGCAGGTTTCATACATAACAGAATCAGCCTGGGGGTGAAAATCAGCTTCACAAGCCTGCCGTCTGGGTAAATAAGATTGCTTGGTCGTAGAGACAGAGTTGCTATTACTACTACTACTACTACTACTACTACTACTACTACTACTATTATGGCCTCAGCTTTGTTAACTTTTAAATGGCCAGTGAAAACTTTCCTATGTCAGTCAACTTTCAGTTAAAGAGCCGTGCTGGTTGTTATATGTTGTGCTTGTTTTTATTTTTAATTGCTGCTGCCTTGTTTCTGAAATTATAGTTAGATTACCTTTATGAAATTATTGGTTAAATTATTGTAGCTGCTCTGTCAATTTAAAAGGTGGGATATAAACAAATATGTAAACAAATATGCAAACAAACTCAGAAGGAGAAATTTAAGTATGTAGTCTACTATGCATGTATCAAAATTATGTTTATATTCTTCTGCTGCCAGGCTTTTGGGGACATGATGCAACCTACTCTTGAACTCCTGACAAGACTTTTGCTGTTATATTCCCAGGTCCAGCCCAAGGAGCCTCATCACAGTACTCCAGTTACCAACAGGGTCAGGGGCAACAGTATGGAAGCTACAGAGCTTCACAGACAGGACCATCTGCACAGCAACAGAGGCCTTACGGCTATGAGCAGGTAAATCTTCCCATTTAGATTACTGTAATGCACTCTATATATGGCTACCCTTGAAAGCAGGTTGGAAGCTGCAGCTAGTCAAAATGTGGTGGTGGGTCAGGTTGTTAAACGGGTCATCCTGCTAGAATCACATTACTTTAACCACATGGAACTTGCGCTGCCTTCCAACATGCTACTGGTCCCAATTCAAGGTGCTATTGTTACAAGGTGCTGTGCTACACACAGGAAGGTGCCTTATGTAGCAAGACCATTGGCCCATGTTGTTCAGTGCTGCCAACACTGAATGCCTGCGGCTTTCCAGGGTTTCAGACAGGAGCTTCTCCCAGCTCTATCTGGAGATGCTGGGGATTGAACTTGGACCTTACAAAGCAGATGCTGTCCGAATGAGCTTAGCATAAATAAGTAAGCATGCTAGTACACAAGGAGAAAATTGTGACTGCTTTGCTCCTCCCTAGCTCCTGGTGCTGCCACACAACTGAGTGTGTCTGAACCTGTGCTCATGGTTTGTCTCCCCTAAACAAATCATGAGCCATAAGCCAAGAAAAAAATGTAGTTTGTTTGGAGGACAAACCATGTGGCCTGGTGTGGATGTAATTTTAAGCTTAGCTCCAGATAGCATGACAGCAGCAAAAGCTGAGGAGGAGCAAAAGGCCCAATTTTTCCTGAGTATTTGCACTCACTCATGGTGAGCCATAGTTTGGTTTAGTGTTGCATGTGAACCGGGCCTATGTGTCTGTAGAAATGACTGTGTTAATTTCTCTTTCTCTCTCTTATTTTTAACAGAGCCAGTATGGAAACTATCAGCAATAAAAGGACAAGCACCTGTGTCAGATTTGTTTCAATATTTATGTCCGTCTTTTGAACTTGGATGTACGGGCAGTTTTTGATTAATCGTAATATGTTGGTTAACCCCCTTAGCACAAAGGAGCATTTGTCTGTGAAATAGTATTCATTTCATGCTGGATATGAAGCAGTGCACTACTGGTAACAAGGCAATGCTTTAATGGTTTGGTATGTTTTGGTGCTGTGTATAATACTGTATGTTGATACAATGCAAAGGTTCTTCCTTCTCTTGCCCCCATCCTCACTTGATGTCTAGCTTTAGAGGTTACTTGAACATCGGTATCCACATCACACCCAGCTATTTTTCTTCTTCGTCATCTACAAGGCTACAATATTCTGTAATACATCAAACACATATAATTAAGTTTTTCGTGCTCTGCTCATGTAACTGCTCTTAGCATTGTTTTCAAGGTGAAACAGCCTGGATGTGCTGCAGATTATTTTGTATCTACTATCCTCTGAAATCAATAGATCCTAATTTGATGGTATTGGGATAGGCTCATTTTATTGCATTTTCTTGGTTTTTATTCTGAACTGCAAATACTGAAATTTATGGGCATGAGTTTGATTTGCTAGATACTTTCAAAGTGAAACAACAAATTAGTACAGCAGTAAGTAGGGTCTATTTAAGTCACCTTTCCACCAACTATTTATGATTGGGGTTTATTGCTGACTTGGGAACTGGCCCTGTTATGGGAGGTGCCCTTATATCCCATAGCAGGTCAATACCAAAGAAGCATTAAACTGCTGAAATGTGGGCAGTAGTTCCACTGAATTTATACTAAACCACCAGAGAAGACTACTCTATTTCAGCTATCCTGGATATATGACCATGGATTCAGTTAGTGTGTGGCCAAGGAATCTGGAATCTGGGAAGGGAAAAGATTGACTCCTTCTGTACCTATTGTATAATGTTCTTGGGGAATTCATATACTAGGACACATTTTTATGCATCCTGGCCCAGGTGATGACATCAACATAAGGGACATTTGTGGTGTCCTGTAGCAAAAACAAGTCTGCAAGTTGCTTCATGAGACTTGCATCTCTTGTATACGTCTATCTGTTGCATTGCTTGGAAAATAGGTGCCTTATCAAGAAGGCAAAGCCATTACAGGCTCCTGGACTAATAATGAAGGGCAACAGAAGAGCTGTGCTTCCATTGCTATGGGGCTGCCTGATTCTGGGAAGAGATTTGCCTTTCTCTACCGAGTGTCCCTATAAGGAACCTTCCTTCCTTCAGGCAGCAAGTATGTAAAGAAAATGAATTTCCCTCACATAACTAATTTACTGCAGGATATAGTGTGTACTCAGTGCCAAAATAGTTACCACTGTGCAGAAGACCCAGTATAGCTGCCTTTGGCATAAAATGGGATTCTTGTAAAAACAAAGTTCTATGATTCATTCATTAACAATTCAGTGGGGTTTTATTTCCAATTGAGTGTGCTTAGGACGGCTACCATAAAGACTTACACCTGATTTAAATATATGCAGTATGACCATTTATAATAAAATGTACTGCGGAACAAATTTAGCCAGTAGGATGATGAAATGCAGCCAAAGCAAAGCACTTTAAAATTCCATTGATTTCACTGGGAGAGCAGTGAGTGTGTGCTTGAAATCAGTGGGACCAAACTCAGCTTAACTCTAGTTGGATCTGGATCCTCTATCTGCCAAAGCAAAAATTCACTAGTACCATTTTAATCTTGTTATCCAAGCTGTAGGTAAAACAAACCCCAAGATTCAGTCTGTCAAAAGTCAATATAGCTTCATATCCACACAAGTTGTTGAGAAGCATAAATGACCATCCAGACTTTACTACAAAGTAACTGTAGCATGCACTTTAGAGATAGTGCATGTTTCCGATGCAGCTGATTAGCTGCCAGTTCATTTTCTGATCCTTCCACTTACTCAGCCTTCCACCAAGAAATATAGCCATAAACAAAATCAGGTTACAGACTTAAGGGCTGCATTCAACTACATACTCGAGTAGGCCAATAGAAATCAACGGACAAGTTAACTGAAGACTTTATTCTGTAATAAGATCGTTGACCTATATATTACAATGGCAATATTTTGATGAGCGAATTTAGACTAATTGATATATTGCAATTTAATGTTTTGATTTTTGTATTTTTAACCTTATTATCTGCCTGGACATTTTTTTAACGAGGGGCAGAATATCATTTGCTTCAATCAATCAAAATGATAGTCATGCCTAACTTAAGTCTATGTATTTCAGTGGGTCTACTCTAAGTACGATAGCTCTTCCTTGGTATTTTGGCTTCAGTAGCAGTTTGGAAACTCTGTTTCCAGTAATCAGATATATTCACGGACTGTTTATTATATTTAACTGACTGGATCCTGCATTGTTAGGAACTACAGAAAACATTGTAGCATTTAAAAGGCACTGTTGCTATTAAAATGATTGCTCACGGTGTGTCTTTTGGTCACACTGGGTTTCTTATGCTGATCACCTGCTGGGAATGAGAGAGCAGGTACACACCAGGCATGCAGTATCACATGGATCCCTACTTGGGGAGGGCAGAAAAGAGAGGGAAAGGAAGTCAGTAGGTCTTTGGTCCCCTCATCTTTGCAGGGCTCCTTCACAAATCTTGCCTGCCCCTTTTATCAGTTATAAAGCTCAGTCCTCAAAGCTCCTGTACAGCCTGACAGTGTCTAAGACAATACAGGATAGTAGGTTAAGGGAGATCATCACTCCAGGAGGGACAAACTGCTCTGTAAAATCCTTATAACCCAGCGGCCTTGTAGCATTTAGAGGGCTACAAGTTCCACACCTCTCCTTCAGTTGCCTCAGCTAGTACTGCTCATCCCCATGATTTCTGAGGGGTGCGTATCTGAGGGGCACCCACGCTTCCTACTTTCTGGCACAGCCTTTCCCTTCTGCGTACAGAAATGGGAGCCACACAGCCCTTTCCCTATGATACCTTGGGTCAGATGCCACTCAGCTCTGAATGCAAGTGCTGCCCAACATACAGTTTAAACATAAATAAACCAAACTTAAAGCTTCTGAAACATTTAAACTGTAAAAGATTGGCAAGATGTTCAGTTTGTTGTTCAAAACTACAGGATTTCTCAAAAAGTGGTGGGATTTTTTTTAGATAAATAATCTAAGATGAATTTGAGTACACAAGTTTACTCAATTTAAGACTATAGTATATTATATCACTTATTATATTATAAACATCTAGATGGTTTAGATTTTGTGTTGAGATACCAATTTTCAAAAACACGGACCTCCAGAAAATAGACACTGGACCCAAAAAATATCAATATTACTATTTATTTAAAAAATGATCCAATGATCTATGAGAATACTGTACAAATAGAAGGACAATTTATATATGTATGAGGGTCAGGGAAAGTGCTGCTAGAAAGTGCTGCTCAAGATCTACCCTTCTGCAAAATGTATTTAGGAATTTTTATTCCACTAAAAATAAATTAAGAGCATATAAAGGTATAAATGAAAACTATTTAATAATTTTAAAGGCAGCAATAGGGGGGAGGGGAACTCCAATATACCTAGCATTGCTAACAAGCAGTCAGTGAAAATACAAAGCCACACAGGCCCAAAGCAAACAAATCAACATTTGTATAGTTGTTCATCAAGAAGAATTTTTGTCTATATTGTCATTTCTGTCTTCCTTTTTCTGAACCCTTCATAGCACTAAGCACAGCGATGGCTCTATTTACAACTCTGCCAGTGCCATGTAGCACTTTTGGGTGATGGCCAATAACTCTCTGCCTAGCCTGCTTTGTCATGCCTGCAGGAGGAACCCTCACAACCCATGTAACTACACAACAATGAGTGGTTATGTTCAGAGGGAGCAATCAAAAGAGGCCTTTGCAAGAAGCCATGAGCCCCTGGTGCAGTGTACCCTGGCCAACAGCCACTGCAAAATTTCCAGCAGTTGTTGCATGGCAACTACACTGCAGGGTCTCCTATGTTCCTGGCATTTGTCACGACTTGGCTGTTTGTGCTGATGCAGGAGAGGCTCACACCAGTGCAGTGGGAAACACTAATGGATTGCCTGCCTGGAACATCGAGGTGTTAGAATAAACAATGGTCACCTTCACATTAGAGTTTACTGATAGCCAGAAAAAAATGCATTGCTCCTTACCAGCTTTGACATCTGCTTCTCGTATGGTTTTTAGCATTGCTGAAAATCATTTTTTAAAGACCACAAGCATTTTAACAAGTAAAACAGCAACATCGCATCAGTTGGAAATGTCTTACATTAAGAATTTCTTGAATGTTGTGTATATACTGTATTTGAAAGAGCGCTTTGGAAATAGTTTGTACATTATTTCCTAATTTATACATGATTTTTAGTGTTAATATTTCTAACTGTTAATAACAAAATATTTAATGTGTTGTCCATTTTTATGTATTGATGTGGAAACAAAACGGTGATGCCAGCATTTTGACTTTTTTCATTAATTGTATCATATTTTCTGTTTTGTAATACAGAATGTTTGGACATGTTTTAGGTTAAAATGAATTGATTGTGAAGCCAAGTAATGGTACTTTTTCGTATGATGAAAAGACTTTTAAAAGGACTGCTGTAATCATGTTTGAAGTCTGTTCTTTTTTTAATTGCAGGTTTAATGAAAACAATACATTAATCACACTTCATTTATATTCTGAAATATTTCAAGTAAAGATCATTGCATGAGAAAAAGTGTTAATGTCAGTTTTCAAAATGTCAAATCTCATTTGAGTTTCAAGATCAGGTTTTCTAGTTTCCTATTTAGCCAATGATCTCACTAGAAGGCATGACACAGTAACATAGAACTGCTATGTTCATAGAATTAAAAGAATGCCACATGAATTCCAATGGTTCATTGGCAATCCACTACCATGGGGGTAATTTACCAATAAGCCATTGGAATCCAATTTAATAAATTTGAATTTAAGATTAATTAATTTGTTTATACCCTGCCTTTCAGAATAAAATATTTCCAAATAATATCTAGTAGCAATAAAAACAGTAGTAAAGAACAGGCAGAGCAGAAAATACACCAGCAAAAAAATGTTTTTAAAACAGTATGTAGCAGTGAGCGTAGAAAGAAGAATACTTACCCCTCATAGAAAGCCTGATGGAACAAAAAGGTATCCACAGCAGTGTCTAAAAACAGTAAGAGAGAATTTGTTGGATTTCTCTAGGGAGTGTTCCACAACTATGGAGCCAATGAAAAAGCCCTGTCACTGGTACCACCATTCTGACCTTAACTAATGATGAGCTGGAGAGCAATGCCTTCATAATGGTGTAATCCAGGTTAGAGAACCTCAGGCCTGGGAGTTAACTGTTGCCCTTGAGACTCTTTCCAGGCCATTCTCTCACAAGCCCTTTCTCAAGCCTTCCACAAAGCCTTTGCATGGCAAGAATGTGTCATTGAATTGTGACAATGTCTTTTGCATTCCATAAGGCAGAAATGTAGGTGGGTGTCAGAAGCCTGACGAAAGTCAGAAATCTTTTTACCTTTGCATGGGTTGAATGTACAGTGGTACCTTGGGTTACAGATGCTTCAGGTTACAGATGCTTCAGGTTACAGACTCCGCTAACCCAGAAATAGTACCTTGAGTTAAGAACTTTGCTTCAGGATGAGAACAGAAATCGCACAGTGGTGGCATGGCGGCAGCAGGAGGCCCCATTAACCTGAGGTACCACTTTAGCTAAGAACAGTTTCAGATTAAGAATGGACCTCCAGAACAAATTAAGTTCTTAACCCAAGGTACTACTGTAGTTTATTGTATCTGAACCAGTGTGTGAGTGACTGAGGCTAGATATACCTCTTCCAGACTGGGCTGTAATTGGCAAAACAGTTGGACTCAAAACTGATGAAAAGCAGTTTTGATCACTGACACGTGCAGGTTGAATACATTCAAACTGGGAAAACTGCAAACCAACAGCACCTTTGCCATGTTCAGAATTCAGTGTACATATGGAAATGAGTAGAACCAGGTGCAGGTACCCCCATATTTATAGAATCATAGAACTGTAGAGCTGGAAGGGATCCCAAGGGTCATCTAGTCCAACCCCCTGCAATACAGGAATCTTATGTATGATCTATTCACACATGACCATGTACATACATGGCTCTGAGAAATAAATAGAAACCAGGAAATAAATAACCAGCTGAAGAGTCCTCATGGCTCAAGAGGAGACCCTCCCCAGAGCCTGAAGAGGACGTTCCTAAGGGCAGACAAAGCCCCAAAGAGACTAGAGGCACAGCAGGACTTTGTTTAGGCTGCTCATCCTACCTGCCTAACATGCTTTTTAGTGGGTAAAAGGTAAAGGGACCCCTGACCATTAGGTCCAGTCATGGCCGACTCTGGGGTTGCGGTGCTCATCTCGCTTTATTGGCCAAGGGAGCTGGCGTACAGCTTCCAGGTCATGTGTCCAGCATGACTAAGCCTTTTCTGGCGAAGCAGAGCAGTGCACGAAAACGCCATTTACCTTCCCGCTGGAGTGGTACCTATTTATCTACTTGCACTTTGACGTGCTTTCGAACTGCTAGGTTGGCAGGAGCTGGACCGAGCAACGGGAGCTCGCCCCGTCGCGGGGATTCGAACCGCCAACCTTCTGATCGACAAGTCCTAGGGGACTCCCCACTTTATGTGATTTCACTTATGCACATGCAGGCCCTTGTGTGAGTGAGCGGATGCCTGTATTAACAGAATATCAAGGGTTCCCCTGGTTGTGCTTATACCTGCTGATTGTGTGAATGGTGCCTTTTAGCCATGTATGTCATATGGTGCCATTTTAGCTACATTATGTTTCATAACTCACCTAAGTTCATTGCTGGTATATTTATACAACGCTTATGGTAACAAGTCAAAGTGTGTCTGCCAAAGGGGCCTTCTCAGTGGCTGTTCCCACACTCTGGAGAAGCCAGACTGGCTCCCTCCTTGGGTCCTTCTGCCGTTGGCATGTGAGCTGGCTGCTGCTGCTGCTTTTAATGAAAGGTCCTTGGGAACTATGGCTGCTTTGAAATGGAAAGGGCTGGTGCTGTGCCGTTTTGGTTGTATTTCATAGAACCATGGAGTTCACGTTGTAAGTCACCCTGAGTTCCATGAGGGAAAAAGGCGGGATATAAATATATCATTTGTTAAAAATTAAAAAAAATTAGTTATCAATTTAATGGCCCTATGAAGTTCCACCCGCATAACTGTAGGTCGTCGAAGCGACGAAAGAGCCTTTTCAGGAGAAAATACTGACAGGCCCAAACGTGGAAACTACCTCAGGAGCGGCTCCTGTCCCTCGCCGCCCAACGGCCAATTCAACTCCGGCTTCTCCCGCCTCTATCGCCACATCAGCCAATCACAACCCCCCCGCGAACCCTTCCCACCAATCCCGTTCGAAAACGTCTGCGGTGAATAAAAGGAGGGGGGAGTGAAGCGGCGCTACGCAACGTTTGAACCGCCAGCCCCGGCAGGTGCGCAGGCGCACATGCAGCCCTGCGGCCGCCGCTTCCAGCGCCTAGCAGGCACTAGAACTGCGTCTGCGCGACAGCTGCTTGGCGCGAGACAGCAAAAGGGGTGGCTGACGTCTTTGCTGCCCCGACCCGCCCTCGCCACTTCTTTCTCTTTCCGCGCCCGCGGCGCGCGGCTGTGACGTCAGGCGTGTGATGCTGAACCCGCGGATGGGCAAAGCCTGTCAGAAAATGGCGGAGCTAGGATAAAAGCTTGGGGTGGGTGAGACTTTTTTTTAATTTACGTGTATGCCGCTTCTTCTTCTTTTACAAACAAACCGTACCAAAAAACAAAAAAAACAAAAAACAAAAAAAACCCCTGGGTGCCTAAAAACGAGAAGAAAGCACGATAAAATCATTGTGTGTGTGAGATATATATATATATCTCATTCATATATACGGTATTCATATATACGGTATATATGAAGGGCGGAGAAGTGGGGAGCGAGATGCGCTGCGTGTGTGTCAGTGAGAAAGGCGGTTGAGCTGAGGGGGGGGGCGGCCTTCTGTGGAAAACAAGAAAAAGTCCATGGGCAGCTAGATATTTGCCTCAGAAAATGTGCTGGGCAGGCTGGGGGAGCTGCTGCTGCTGCAGTATGTATTTATTTTAAATTAAATTAAATTTATTTTTCTTTAATGTTAAGAAAAGAAAAGAAACCAGCACCCCAGAGTGGTTACAAAAAGATCAAACAAACAAACATAAGACCGAGAAAGATTCACAGTGCTGCTTTAACACGCAGAAGTTAAAAATGCCAAATCAGGTGAAAATGACCTCAGCTCTCTTTAAGCACCCTGGTAGGCTTGTCTAAACAGAAGAGCGCACTGAAAAAGAGTGCAGTTGTTGATTTGATTCCAGTTGTGCAGGGTGTCCCAAAGTGCAGGTGCTCCCACATGGAACGATCCTGAGCTTTTCACGCAGATGTGCTGCGGATGTTGTGTGGTGCCATCTGTAAGTGCCAATTCCGATCAGATCGAAGCAGCCGAGTGGGTGCATGTAGGGTAAGGCAATATTGTAGCTACGCTGGTCCCAAGTTGTTAGGGGCTTTGTATGCTAATACCAGCCCCTTGGACCTGGCCCAGTAGCAAACCGGCAACCAGTGCAGGTCTCTGAGCACAGGTGACAAGGCCTCACTTCTGCCAGCAATTGTGCCACTGAATTCTGCACTAATTGCAGCTTCCGGATCATGCACAAGGGAAGCTCCACACAGAGCGCATTGCAGTAATCCAGTTTTGAAGCAGCCAGCGCATTAACTGCTGTGGCTAGGCTTTAGTCCCAAGACTTGTTGCTGTTTAATCAGCTTAATGCCAAAATAGGCGGTTTACAAGTGTGAATTAAATCCATAATTAAAACACACAATAAAAATAAAATAGGCATGTGCTGTGTTTATCATTCTGGTTAGTAGTCTCAGACACTCCTATCCCACCAGGATGACTAGCAGTGCAGTCCTGCATGTGTTTACTCAGAAATAATCTCCCACTGCCTTCAGTTGGGCTTGGTCTTGGCTAAGTCACTATAGGTTGGCAGTCTAACTTGTTTTTTCATTCTACTGGTCCTTGCCACATTATGTGGCTGTTCACAACACAAAACATTGTGCGGTAACTGTGGTGAAGCCAATCAAGCCTGGGTATGGTCAGCACTTGCGAAAGGTGACCATCTGAGAACTCCATGGCTTGGGTTTTGTGCTGGAAGAAAAAGGAAGATATAAATGTGCTATATACACTAACTAGAACAACAACAACAACAACAATAGTAATACAGTAATAATAATTTTATTATTTATACCTCGCCCATCTAGGCGGCTTACAACATATATGAAAACATAGTAAAACACCAAACAATCTGGTGAAGAAGCAATCTGGTGCTCTTGCTAGTGTGCTTGCACTGTGGTAAACTGTCTTCTGCCTACAGTGGTACCCCGCAAGACGAATGCCTCGCAAGATGGAAAACCCGCTAGACGAAAGGGTTTTCCGTTTTGGAGGCGCTTCGCAAGATGAAGTTCCCTATGGGCTTCCTTCGCAAGACGAAAGCCCATAGGGAAATCTCCGGGACAGCGGGGAAGCGCCTCCGCTGTCGCCCGCCAGCATTTTAAAAAGCCCCGGGACAGCGGGGGACTTCTCCGCTGTCTGGGGCGATCTTAAAATGCTGGCGTGCGGGAGCGAAGCCTCCGCTGTCGCCCGCCAGCATTTTAAAAAGCCCCAGGACAGCGGGGAACTTCTCCGCTGTCGGGGCGATCTTAAAATGCTGGCGTGCGGGAGCGAAGCCTCCGCTGTCGCCCGCCAGCATTTTAAAAAGCCCCGGGACAGCGGGGAACTTCTCCGCTGTCGGGGCGATCTTAAAATGCTGGCATGCGGGAGTGAAGCCTCCGCTGTCGCCCGCCAGCATTTTAAAAAGCCCCGGGACAGCGGGGAACTTCTCCGCTGTCGGGGCGATCTTAAAATGCTGGCGGGCGGGAGCGAAGCCTCCGCTGTCGCCCGCCAGCATTTTAAAAAGCCCCGGGACAGCGGGGGACTTCTCCGCTGTCGGGGCGATCTTAAAATGCTGGCGGGCGGGATCGAAGCCTCCGCTGTCGCCCGCCAGCATTTTAAAAAGCCCCGGGACAGCGGGGGACTTCTCCGCTGTTCCGGGGCAATTTAAAAGCCCCGGACCATGCCCCGATGCCGGGCGGCGGACGGGAACGCCTCCCCCCACCGCCCGCCATCGGGACCATGCCCTGATGCCGGTGGACGGGCGGGAACGCCTCCCCCCGCCGCCCGCCATCGGGACCATGCCCCGATGCCGGGGGCGGGGCCGCGAAGCCTGGGCGCGCTGATCTCAGCGCGCCCAGGCTTCGGCATGCCGGCAACTCTCCGCAAGCTGCGGCAGCGCTGCCGCTGCTTGCGGAGAGGTCCGCGAACCCTGGGCGGACATCTTTTGAAGGCAGGGGGGGAGCAAAGACTTTTGCCCCCCGCCAGCCTTCAGAAGAGGTCCTGGACCTCTTCTGAAGGCCAGCGGGGGGCAAAAGTCTTTGCTCCCCCCTGCCTGCCTTCCCGGGAGAGCGGAGAAACGCAGCACGTTTCTCCGCTGTCCCGGAGGGCTTTTGAATGCAGGCGGGGGGAGCAAAGACTTTCGCCCCCCCCAGCCTTCAGAAGAGGTCGGGGGACAGACTGTCCCCGGACCTGGTCTGAAGGCGGTTTCCCTAGGAACGCATTAATTGATTTTCAATGCATTCCTATGGGAAACCGTGCATCACAAGACGAAAAACTCGCAAGACGAAGAGACTTGCGGAACGAATTAATTTCGTCTTGCGAGGCACCACTGTATAAGCAACAACAGTTCACATACCAGGAAGCTGGTGCATTGTGTTGGTGTGAACTGCAGTCCATTGCACCCTCCTAGTATCACTGTCGTGCCACTCTGTTGGAGTGCTTGTTTTGCCCTTGCTTCGAAAGTGTCCCTAAGTGCAGATCTTTTACACATGCCCACGGGACTGAGTGATAGTTATTTTCTTATATCAGAGAAGGTAAATGAATACAGTTAGACTGTACCACTGAATTGTAAAATTGGAAGGGACCACAAAGATCATTTAGTCCAACCACCTGCCATGCAGGAATCTCAAGGAAAGCATTTATGACAGATGGCCAACCAACCTCATCTTAAAAACCTCCAAGGAAAGAGGGATTAACCTGCTTCCTGTCACTGGTGAGCCTGCCAGCTGAATCAAGCCTACCCGTTCATCTGAATTGTTGCATTCTGGGTTCTGATTCTTAATTGTGCTTAAGCGTGACAGAATGTTGGAGACTTGATTTTATAGTATAAAAGTTAAAATAACCAGACAGTTGTGCCATCACGTAACAAAGTATGACTGCATTCGTTCCATATTCTCAACATGCCAGTTTGTTTCTGCAAATGTGGGATGCGCAAGGATAAGTGTTTCGATGACTGAGGTACCTTTATTATCTACACAGAATAGCAGGACTGATCTGGGGGAGTTCTGCAATAACAAAAGCGTTTGTGAGAATGCTCTTGTGAGGGCAGCAATTCATCAGTTAAGTGTACTTGATTTTCCAGCCCTTTCACAACCACTGCAACTCAGAAGTGGAAGCAGCTGTGCATAATTGGTCTTTTCAAGAAGGAATTTGTGTTCAGTTTTGATACATTGGCACTTCTTGTTTTCTCAATGTTTGCTCTTTAGTATGTCTCGATCTCAGCGGCACTGTTTTTCTCCCTTGATAGGCAAATATGCAACAAATACCCATCAGAGCTTGGTTGGAAAGCCAATGGAGAGTGACACATTCACTCATACAGAGTTACTTACTTCAGAAGAGCTGGCACAGGAATCTTAGCACAACCTGCACAAGGTGTTCCAAGTCTCGGCGACTGGGACATAAAAGAGACCTTTCAGAAAAGAAGCTGGTAAAGTCTTGAAAAATATTCAGTTTAGCTGCAAATTAAATTTAGTGGTGCTCCAATATATTTCTTGTCTTCTCTTACTTGCTTTTGCAGTTCCCTGACTTCCACTTTCCTATAACGTGTTGATTTAGAAGCCATTGTAAATTTAAGACATGATACAAAAACAGAAAACATTAAGCTAAACATTTATTAGTAAGCATTTGGTAAGAACTCTGGCATTTTTATTTCTTACATCCTTTTCATGTGAAGATTACAGGATGATAAGGCAGAAATACTATTTGAAAACCCTTAGCAATGTCTACTTTGTTTCTTTAAATTGTGTTACAACAGAAATTTTGCATGCAAGTGTTTTTAGGATGCAGACATCCTGACTTACATGATCATAGAAGTACAGTGGTACCTCAAGTTAAGTACTTAATTCGTTCCGGAGATCCATACTTAACCTGAAACTGGTCTTAACCTGAAGCACCAC